CCTGATGACTAAGGATGTTGAGCAATTCCTTAAATGTCTTACAGCCATTTGAGATTCTGCTGTTGAGAATTCTCTGTTTAGTTCTGTAGCCCATTTTTTTAATTGGATTGTTCAGGATTTTGATGTCTACTTTCTTGAATTCTTTATATATTTTGGAGATCAGCCCTCTGTCAGATGTGGGGTTGGTGAAAACCTTTTTCCATTCTGTAGGTTGTCATTTTGTCTCATTGACCACTTCCTTTGCCATACAAAAGCTTCTCAGTTTCAGGAGTTCCCATTTATTAATTGCTCTCAGTGTCTGTGCTACTGGTGTTATATTTAGGAAATGGTCTCCTGTGCCAATGCATTCAAGATTACTTCATACTTTCTCTCCTATCAAGTTCAGTGTAACTGGATTTATGTTGAGGTCTTTGATTCACTTGGACTTGAATTTTGTGCAAGCCAATAGACATGGATCTATTTGCAATTTTGTACATGTTGACATCCAGTCATGACAGCACCATTTCTTGAAAATGCTTTCCTTTTTCCATTGTACAGTTTTGGCCTCTTCTTCAAAAATTAGGTGTTCATAGGTGTGCAGATTAATGGTAAGGTCTTCAATTAGATTCCATTGGTCTACATGTTGGTTTTTATGCCAATACCAAGCTGTTTTATTACTATAGCTCCATAATAGAGCTTGAAGTTAGGGATTGCAATGCCTCCAAAGATTGTTTTATTATACAGGATTGTTTTAGCCATCCTGTGGTTTTTTTTTTTGTTCATGTGATGTTGAATATTGTTTTTTCCAGGTCTGTGAAGAACTGTGTTGGGATTTTCCTGGGGATTGTATTGGATCTGTAGATTGCTTTTGGTAAGATTGACATTTTTACTATGCTAATCCTTCCTATCCATGAGCATGGGATATTTTTCCCTTTTCTGATATCTTCTTCGATTTCTTTCTTCAGAGACTTAAATTTCTTGTCATACAGGCCTTTCATGTGTTTGGTCAGAGTTACCCCAAGCTATTTTATATTATTTGTGCATATTGAAAAGAGTGATGTTTCTCTGATTTCTTTCTTGGCCCATTTATCACTTGTTTTTAGGATGGCTACTGATTTTTTTTTAATTAATCTTGTATCCTGCCACATTACTGAAGCTGTTTATAAGCTTTATATCTAGTATTTTGGGGGTCATTTATGTAGACTATCATATTATTTGCAAACAGTGAAAGTTTGACTTCTTTCTTTCTGACCTGTATCCCCTTGATCTCCTTTTGTTGTCTTCTTGCTCTAGCTCGAGTACCATATTGAATAGATATGGAGAGAGTGGACAGCCTTGTTTTGTTCCTGATTTTAGTGGAATTACTTGGATTTCCTCCCCATTAAATATGATGTTGGCTGTCATCTTGGTGTAAATTGCCTTTGTTTAGGTATGTTCCTTGTATTCCTGATCTCTCCAGCCTCTTTATCATGGAGGGGTGTTCGATTTTGTCAAGGTTTTTTCAGCATCTAATGAGAAGATCACGTAGTTTTTTTCAGTTTGTTTATATAATGGGTTACAGTGATAGATTTTCATATGTTGGACCATCCCTGCATCTCTGGGATGCAGCCTACTTGATCATGGTGGATGATTTTTTTTGACGTGTTCTTGGATTTTGTTTGCCAGTATTTTATTGGGTATTTTTTGCATCAATGTTCATGAAGGAGATTTGTCTGTAATTCTCTTTCTTTGTTGCATCTTTGTGTGGTTTGGGTACCAGGATAACTGTAACCTCATAGAAAGAGTTTGACAATGTTCCTTCTATTTCTATTGTGTGGAACAATTTGAGGAGTATTGGTATTTAGCTCCTCTCTGAAATTCTTATATAATTCTGCACTGAAACCATCTGATGCTGGGGTATTTTTTTGGTTGGGAGACTTTTAATGACTGCTTCTATTTCCACAGGTGTTATAGGTCTATTTAAATTGTTTATCTGATCTTGATTTAACTAGGGTATTAAATACCTATCCAGAAAATTGTCCATTTCTTTTAGATTTTCCAGTTTTGTGGAGTACTGGTTTTTGAATTATGATCTAATGATTCTCTGGATTTCCTCATTGTCAGTTGTTATATCTTCCTTTTCATTTCTGATTTTGTCAGTATGGATAGTCTCTCTCTATCTTTTGTTTTTTTTTGATATGGGTTTCTCTATCTTGTTTATTTTCTCAAAGAACCAATTCTTTGTTTCAGTAATTCTTTGTACTCTTCATTGTTTCTATGTTTTTCAAATTCTGTCCTCAATTTCATT